GTGTAAGAACTAAGACTCTGCAAAGAAAAACAAACATGATTAGTTGCTCCCGAATCAATTATCCAGGCTGAGGTATCACCCTCTACTAAACATGTTTCAAGGACTAGTAAATCTGATTTACCTTGTTCTTTTTTCTTTTTCAGCTCCTCGAGATACTTGTGACAGTTTCTCTTCCAGTTCCCTTCACCATTGTAGTGGAAACACTTTCCTTTGGGTTTCTGGATGGGGCCTTTTGCCTTCTTGGGTCTCTTGTTCTTTCCTTTCTTCCCTTTCCCTTGGTTCTGGTTCTTTCTTTTAATTTTATCAGAACTTCTTGCAACTACAACATTTGCTTCTCCTCCCCTTCACTTGTTGGTGGATTCGAAGTTTTGTAGGTCATTCATGAGTTCAGTGAGATTGGACATTTTCTTGTTTATAACAAAGTTGTTCACGAACTCATGAAAATCAGGGGATAGGCTTTCCAAGATGATGCCAACTTGGGTGGCTTCATCGATCCTGGCACCATTGAGCTCCGCATCATGGAGGTGATCAATCATGTTCAAAACATATGCCTTGACTGAAGAACCTTTCTTCATCTTGTCATTCATGAAAGCCCTTACAGCATCCAAATGAGCCTTCTTAGAGGGAGCGCCGAACATGGCTTCTAGAGACTCAATTATCTCATAAGCAGTCTCCATTTCCTCATGCTTCTTGCGAAGCACATCGCTCATACTGGCCAACATAAAGCACTTTGCTTTGTTGTTAGCCTTGATCCAGCGATCATAAGGCTCCCTTGCGGTTTTGGATGCATTAGCCGCGGGTTCTTAAGGACATTCCTCTACTAGGACAAATACCAAACATGTGACTAGCGTTGCACTATTCTGGCTTTCGCTTCCTCGAAGCCCTTCAATCCGAGTCCTCAGCTTGCACTGACACAAGACAATACTTTAGGATCCAATTCTCATTCCTAAAGGAATTCAATCTCAATTATACCCTTTGATTTCCTATTAGTGTGCCATAATTCAATTACCGGTTTCATAAACCATTTCATATTTTCAATCATCATTCCAAGGGTTTTAAATCTCAAAATATGGATTAAAAATGCTAATCCATTTACTCTAGATCCACAAATCAAGCTAATTTGGGTTTTGCTAAAGAAATCAGGGTCAAAACAGGGTTTTTCAACAAAACAGGGTCAAACCTCGTGTATACCGGTCGACTAGTGACAGAACAATGCAACACCACCGCTTGACCAGGGGTGTGCAATTTGGTCAACTGCACAAGTCGACCTAATGTAGTGCAATCCGGTCGAGTGCATAGGTAGACTGGTGGGAGCCTGACAGCTCAACCGAAAGGGTTGATCCAAAGAAAATTTTGTCAAATCCTACAATTTCAAGTCCAAATTCAAAATATTTCAAGGGGAAAAACCAAATACCGGTTCTAGGTACTAAATTAAGTCTAAAGAACCCAAGATTCCTAATTTGTACTTTGGTTTTACATAAAATCGTTCAAAATCCATTTCGAACTAAAAATAAGTTTTCTAATCCGAAAATCTTGAGATTCAAGAGAGGTTTTCAAAAATCTTACCTCAAATACTTCTCTTGACATTGAAAACTTCTTTAAATTCCTCTTTGGTTCGAGATTTGGTTAGTTTGAATCAAAACAGGAGAGAGAGAAAGAGAGAGTGAGAACGAGAGTGAGAGTAAGAGAGAGAGAGAGAGAAAGGGCTGCACGGGAAAAGAAAGAAAAATGGAAGAAAAAGAAAAAGGAAAAGAAAAGGGAAATGGACAAGTGTCAAAATATTTAAAGACAGTCCAGGAAATGTGTCTACGTATACTTCTGGAGTAAAAATGTAAATACTGAGAATATTTAAATACCTTGAAATTCTTTAAATTTAGCCGTCAAAAACATTTAATAAACATAATTGTTGAATTAAACTAGATTAGGCACACTAATAAATCTTAATTACCTTAATTAATCTCGTTTAATTCTTCAGGGTGTTACAACTCCACCCCCCCTAAAGAATTTCATCCTCGAAATTAGGACTTACCTCAAAGTGAAAACAGATGTGGGTAGTGCTCCTGCATCATTGTTTTAAGCTCCCATGTTGCTTCCTCAACTCCATGGAGCTGCCATAACACTTTCACTAATGGGATCTCACAATGATGCATACTCTTCATCTTCTGATCAAGGATCTGGACTGGTGCCTCCTCATAGGTCGCGTCATACTGTATCGGGACATCATACCATTGCACCATGGCTTCCGGATCAGGTTGACATTTACGAAACATGGAGACATGGAAAATGTTATGTACAGGAGATAACTCAGGCGATAAAGCTAGGCGATACGCCACGACACCAACTCGTTGCACGATCAGGAATGGTCTAACATACCTTGGCACAAGTTTTCCTTTTATACCAAAACAAACAACGTGTTTACATGGAGAAACCTTCAACAAAATGAAGTCGCCTTCTTGGAATTCTGAAGGTCTACGCCTTCGGTCAGCATAGCTCTTTTGACGACTATGAGCCATTAACAATCATTCTCGAATCATAGCTATCTTCTCATTATTCTCTTGAATAACTTCTAGTCCAGTAGTAAGTCAATCTTCTGGTTCCAGCCAACAAACAGGCGATCTGCAAGGTTGACCATAAAGAGCTTCGAACGGTGCCATACCGATGCTGGCTTGATAGTTGTTGTTGTAAGCAAACTCAGCAATGAGAAGGTATTTCTTCCAGTTTTCACCAAAATCCATAATACAAGCACGAAGCATATCCTTCAGAATCTGAATAACTCTTTCAAATTGCCCATCAGTCTGAGGATGAAATGTTGTGCTAAAATTCAATTCTATTCCTTTGGCTTCCTGGAAACTTTTTCAATACCTTGCATTAAAGTGTGCATCACGATCGGACGTAATGGATAATGGTACTCCGTGAAGCTTGACGATATGCTCCAAGTACAACTCTACCAGAATCTTCTGGGAATTTATCGTATGGAATGGTATGAAGTATGCGGATTTCATCAACCTGTCCACCACCACCCATATGGCATTGTGCTTTTGCTCAGTTCTCGGAAGTCCCATCAGAAAATCCATCATGATATGTTCCCATTTTCATCCTGGCATAGGTAAAGGTTACAATTCTCCAGCAGGCTTCTGATGCTCAGCTTTAATCTGGAGACAAGTCACACATTTTGAAACATGTTCACGAATGTCTTTCTCCATACCTCTCCACCAATATTGCCTCTTTAGGTCCTAGTACATCTTGTTGCTTCCTGGATGAATAGCATACCACGATTTATGGCCCTAATGCATAATCGCCTTCTTGATCTCATCCACCTTAGGAACGGTTAGGCAGTTACGGAAATAAAGTGATCCATCCGCTCGAATTCTCCAGTCCTCAAGTTACTCTCCATTCTGGATTTGAATCCAAATTCCTTGGAGATGAGGATCCTGTCACTAATTCTGCTTAACTTGTTGCACAAGAACCGGTGTGGAGATTAGATTATACACCATTGTCTGGTTCTAATCCTCATAGTACTAAAGTTCATAGTCGCTCACTACTTCAGTCCTTTTCCAGTCTTCCAAAGCTAATGACACTAAAGTTCCTATAGTCTTCCTGCTAAGGGCATTAGCTACCACATTAGCTTTTTCAAGATGATATTACAGAGTGAAGTCATAATCTTCCATGTATTCCATCCATCTCCTATGCCTGAGGTTCAGATCTTTCTGAGTAAACAAGTACTTCAAACTCTTGTGGTCAGAGAAGACCTAAAACTTTGCTCCATAAAGATAACATATCCATATCTTTAGAGCAAATATCACCGCTACTAGCTCTAAATCATAAGTGGGGTAGTTCCATTCATGCGGCTTCAGTTGGCGAGATGCATAGGCTACGATGCGTCCACCTTGCATCAAGACAAAACCAAGTCCACTCATTGAGGCATCAGAATATACCTCATATGGCTCCTCACTATCAGGTATAACAAGACTGGTGCACTAGTTAGTCTAGTTTTCAATTCCTGAAAAGCATCTTCACATTCAGCGTCCTATTCGAATCTGACTTCTTTCTTGGTCAACCGAGTCATCGGTGCAGCAATGCTCGAGAAGTCTTTTATGAAACGTCGATAATATCCGGCAAGTCTGAGGAAACTTCGAATCTCTGCTACATTCTTCAGCCTTTCCCACTGTAACACAGTCTCAATCTTGGAAGAATCTACAGAAATTCCTTGTCCTGATATCACATGTGCAAGGAACTTCGCTTCTGTTAGCCAGAAGTCACACTTCTCTTTCTTCGTATACAACTGGTGTTCACGAAGAGTTTGAAGAATAATTCTCAAATGTTGCTCATGTTCTTCCCAAGTCTTCGAATAAACCAGAATATCATTGATGAAGACAATCATCAACTGGTCTAAGTACGGTCAGAAGACATGGTTCATTAAATCCATGAATGTAGCTGGGGCATTCGTCGGCCCAAAAGGCATCTCCAGAAACTCAAAATCCCCATACCGAGTTCTAAAAGTAGTTTTCAGGATATCTTCCTCCTTAATCTTAAGCTGATGATATCCTGACCTCAAGTCAATCTTAGAGTAGTATTGTGATCCACCCAACTGATTGAATAACTCATCGATCCTTAGTAGTGGGTATTTATTTTTCAGAGTTACCCTATTCAATTGACGCTAGTCAATGCATAACCGAAGAGATCCGTCATGCTTCTTCACAAACAAAACATGTGCACCCCATGAGGAAGTGTTATTCCTAATATATCCTTTTTTTGCTAACTCACCAAGCTACTTCTTTAACTCTTTCAGTTCAGCAGTGCTATTCCTTATATACCCTTTATCCGCTAGCTCCTCGAGCTGCTTTCTTAATTCTCTCATCTCAGCAGGTGCCATTCAGTAAGGAGGAATAGAAATTGGAGTCGTTCCTGGTATCAAGTCAATACCGAATTCAATCTCCTGATCTGGCGGTAAACCTAGTAACTCATCAGAAAATACATATGCGAATTCGTCCACCACAGGAATTCCCACATTGTCTCCCATTACCTCGGGTTCACCTTCTAGAGCAAGAAGGAAAGAAAAACAAGCTAGGTTCCTACGTCCTCCAACGCTGTATCTCAATAGTCGTTCTTCTAGGACTGGATTCATGTCTGTTTGATAAGTAATTACCGTTCCAGAATGAGTCATCAAAGTTACTCTTCTACGGTAGCAATCAACAATCGCACCGTATCTTGCTAACCAATCCATCTTGAGTACCACGTCAAACAAACTCATTGGAAGGATTATCAGATCGGCTCTCAATCGCTTACCTCCAATCATAATTTCACACGATCTACATATACTAGCTACCTCCATACATCCCAGTGGGGAGTTCAACATCATCGGGGTTTCCAAGTTCTCAGATTTCAATTTCAATGTTTCAACAAAAGAACTTGATATAAACGAATAGGTAGCACCAGTATCGAACAATACATGTGCTAATGAGTGAGAGATCATGATCATACCCTCAACCACGGTGTTGGTGGCCTGACCTCCAGAACTGCCTCGTATTAGGGTATACGTTTGTCCCTGCGCTTTCCCTTTCTCTTTATCACCAATATTAGGCCTCTGTGTTCCTAGCCTATATTGTTGTGGTGGAGGTATCTGCACTGGTCCCGACGCTCGAGGTCAAAACTGTGGATATTGAGGCGGACGGTAGGTTGGCACATGAGGGTATGGAATTGGCATTGGTAGTTGTGGCTGATAAGGTGTCACGCCCCCCAAACGGGGTGGGTGACGTGGAGCTCGATTAGGGGTTAATAAAGCAGAATCCCAGACGAGCCCCACTCGACTAAATTAAAGTATAAATACATTACTACAGAATTCTGGAGCCTCTGACACACATGGCTCCACCCCACAGGACATGCAATATCGTACATACATGCTCATGTAAGTAATCATTACAACAGACATCAACCACGGTCTAGTAAATCCAAATATTACATAACTTTACAGAATTTCTCAAATTCCTTACATTTGTCCAAGTGGATGTCCACGATCCTCACTTCATTCCAACAGCAGCACAACTCAGCTACTCCGTAGCAATTATCCAGCTACTGTGCACCACTCGTAGAGTCTCCTGGAAGGGGTTTAATACATTTGAAACATAAAACTTGAGCGAAAGGCCCAGTAGGATATAATTTGAAATGACTTAAAATAAATGAATAAATAAATGAGCGAGTAAATGAATGAATGAATAAGTAAATAAAATTAGACATTCAGTCCCGATGGAATAGCCGGAACCTCACATCCTTTTTCTAAAAGGAAATATAACTGAAAATAACTGTATTACAGGCTTCAACAAGTAATTAGTACAAATTACTTACCTAACCAAGTGCCTCGCCTACCCGGACCGAGTTTCAGGTTCTACCCCCGAGGATGCACTATCCGCATCCTATCTAGGCTTACAGCAATAGACTCTCTTACCGGTTCACAAGATCTCTTTATTAAGAAATCATTCATTAACATTTTGAAATCGTCAATATGACCCCACGAACTACTCAAGCCGCGAGCCCATGACTGGATAAGCCATGAGGTTCCATGACTAAACAAGCCATGGTTTTCAAAGCGTTTTTCTTTCACAAACCAATCCCTTTCTTTAAAACATTTTCAATGCCAAAATCCTTTTTGAAAACAGGCTCACAAAGAAAAAGGATAGAAATCCTACCTCGCATTATCAAACCTGGGACTAGCATTGCCTTTTCCGGCTTCCACTTCCTTAAGCCCCTTTAGTCTGAATCCTCAGTGATCACTGATGCAAGACAACACTTTAGGATTAATTCTCATTCCTGAAGCAATCCAAATCTCATTTATGTACCAAGATTTTCAATTAGTGTGCCCTAATCCATTTTCATGTTTCAAATTATCATTCCAAGGGTTTTCAAAACAGCAATTTCAGGCCAAACAGGGTCAAACCCGTGTGCACCGGTCGATCGGTGACAGGCAGTGCTGTCCCCCCCCCCCCCCCCCCCCCCAAACGGGGTGACGTAGGGATTAATAAAGCAGATTCCCAGACGAGCCCCACACGACTGTATTAAAATATAAATTAAACTACAGAATCCTGAGCCTCTGACAACACACAGGGCTCCACCCCACAGGACATATAGTATCATACATACATGAACATGTAAATAATCATTACAGCATACATCAACCACAGTCTAGTTAATCCAAATATTACATAAGTTTACAGAATTGCTCAATCCCTTACATTTTCTCCCAGAGGATGGCCAAAATCCTCACTTGATTCCAACAGCAGCACAACTCAGCTGCTCCGTAGTAAATATCCAGCTACTGTGCACCGCTCCTAGAGTCTCCTAGGAGGGGTTTAATACATTTAAAACATAAAACGTGAGCGAAAGGCCCAGTAGGATGTTATTTACAAAGACGTAAAGTAAATAAATAGATAAAATGTAAGTAAATAAATAAATGGGTACGTAAATAAATAGACATTCAGTTTCAACAGGCAGCCAGAACCTCACATCCTTTTTCTCAAAGGAAATAAATGTAAAATCTCCACATTACAGGCTTCAGCAAGTAATTAGTACAAATTACTTACCTAACCAAGTGTCTCGCCTACCTAGACCGAGTTTCAGGTTCTGCCCCCGAGGATGCACTCTCTGTATCCTATCTAGGCTTACAGCAATAGACTCTATTACCAGTTCACAAGATCTCTTTGCTTAAGAAATCATTCATTAACTTTTCTAAAATCATTTTTATGACCCCGCGAACTACTCAAGCCGCGGGCCCCATGACTGGGCAAGCCATGAGATTCCATGACTAAACAAGCCATGGTTTTCAAAACATTTTACTTTCACAAGCCAACCCTTTCTTTAAAACATTTTCAAGGCCAAAATCCTTTTGAAAATAGGCTCACAAGGAAAAGGGATAGAAATCCTACCTTGCACTATCAAACCTGGGACTAGCGTTGCCTTCTCTGGCTTCCACCTTCCTCAAGCCCTTTCAGTCTGAATCCTCAGCGATCACTGATGCAAAACAACACTTTAGGATTAATTCTCATTCCTAAAGCAATTCAAATCTCAATTTCCAACCAAGATTTCCTATTAGTGTGCCCTAATCCATTTTCATGGTTCAAATTATCATCCCAAGGGTTTTCAATCTCAAATCAAGGATTAAAGATGCTAATCCATTTGTCCCAAGTCCCCAAATGAAGCTAATTTTGGTTCTCCGTAAACACAGGGATCAAAACAGCAATTTCAGGCCAAACAAGGTCAAACCCCGTGTCAACCGGTTGACCGGTGACAGAGTAGTGCATTACCACCGGTCGACCGGTGGTGTGCACTCCGGTGGACCGGACAGGTCGACTGGTCAGGCCAATGCAATCCGGTCGACCGCATAGGTCGACCGGTTTCCATGTGATCCGGTCGACCGGTGGAATCAGTTCTGCGAGAGAAGCTCGCGGAAACCAGTCTAAAAACTGCAAATCTCAGTCCCAAATCAAGATATTTCAAAAGAAAATCACTAGATCTGGGTTCTAGGTCCTAAAACAAGTCCAAAGAACCCAAGATCTCCAATTTCTACTCTAGTTTTACTAAAAAACCATCAAAATCCGGTTTGAACCAAAAATAAGTTTTGAAATTCAAAAACTTGAGATTCAAGAGAGGTTCTTTCAGTAATCTTACCTGGAATCCTTCTCTTGACGTTGAAAACTTTTTTAAATCTTTCCTTGGTTCAGGATCCATTTGATTTGGGACAAAAAATGAGAGAGAGAGAGAGCACGGCAGAGTGGGAGAGAGTGATGCACGGGAGAGAGAGAGAGAGAGTGATGCACGGGAAGGAAAAGGAAAGAAAGAAAAGAAAAGAAAAGGAAAAAAAAAGAAAAGGAAAAAGAAAAGAAAAGGGCATGTGTACAATATTTTTAAAACAACAGTCCAGAAATGCGCCTATACACACTTCTGGGTTAAAATAAATTACTGAGAATAATTTAAATACTTTAGAACTATTTAAACTCACACGTGTCAGAAATATTTATTAATTAATACTCAATTAATAATCAAGATTAGGCACACTAATAATCTCAATTACCTTAATTAATTTCTTTTAATTCTTCAGGGTGTTACAAGTGCAACACTACCGGTCGACCGGTAGTGTACACACCGGTCGACCGGACCGGTCAACCGATCAGCCTACAATCCGGTCGACCGCATTGGTCGATCGGTTTCCATGTGATCCGGTCGACCGCACAAGTCGACCGGTGGAATCAGCTGCGCGAGAGAAGTTCGTGGAAATCAATCTAAAAACCTACAAATCTAGTCCCAAATCGAAATATTTCAAAGGGAAACCACTAGATCCGGGTTCTAGGTCCTAAAATAAGTCCAAAGAACCTAAGATCTCCAATTTCTACCCTAATTTTACTCAAAAACCATCAAAATCCGGTTTGAACTAAAAATAAGTTTTGAAATTCAAAAACTTGAGATTCAAGAGAGGTTGTTTTAGTAATCTTACCTCGAATCCTTCTCTTGATGTTGAAAACTTTTTTAAATATTTCATTGGTTCAACATCCGTTTGATTTGGGACAAAAATAAGAGAGAGAGAGAGAGAGCACGGGAGAGTGGGAGAGAGTGAGAGAGAGAGTGAGAGGTGCACGGGAAAGGAAAGGACAAGGAAAAAGGAAAGGAAAAAGGAAAAAGAAAAGAAAAGGAAAAGGAAAAGAAAATGACATGTGTACAATATTTTGAAACAACAGTCCAGAAATGCGCCCATACACACTTCTGGGTTAAAATAAATTACTAAGAATAATTTAAATACCTTGGAACTATTTAAACTCACACGTTAGAAACATTTATTAATCAAAACTCAATTAATTAAATCAAATTAGGCACACTAATAATCCCAATTACCTTAATTAATATCAATTAATTCTTCAGGGTGTTACATAAGGTGGCACAAAGTGCGGTGGCCTCTCTTGACTATAGGAAGCATCACTTTGAGATTGTAGAGTCGACGGCTGATTCTAATTAGGACAATTCCTCCTAATGTGGCCAACTTGCCCACAATGATGGCACTTGGGTCTATAAGGACCACTCCTGTCACTTCCAGAGGAACTGCTACCACCACTAATCATTTCTCTGCTAATATGTCCCTGATTGTGGTTTCTTCTACCACTCCACTGTGGCCCACCTGAAATATAAGGTCCACCAAAAATAGAAAATTGATTAGCTACTTCCTTGCTTTGATAATAAACCATATTATCTTGCTCCACGCTTGTAGCAGTAGCCACCAGGTCTCAGAAATTTTAGATCCTTAGAGCCACCAAAGGCCTCCTGATAGAATTCTTAAGACCCTTCTCAAATTTAAGGCACCTTAGGTGCTTGGACTCCACTAGAGATGGTGCAAACCAGGATAGATTGTTGAATTTAGCCTCATACTCCCTCACAGACATGTCACCCTGTAGCAAAGACATAAACTCCATTGCATTTTCATCCCGATAGCTCCGAGGGAAGTATTGTTCATTGAAAATGGTTTCAAACTGTTCCCAAGTCATTCCCATAACATCAAGCCTTCTCCTCACCTGCTTGCACTAAGTACTTGTTTGGCCTTCCATCTTATACACCGTGAATTCTACCTAATATTCTTCCGGCACTCCCATAGTGTTCAGGTGTTTAACTATGGAGTCAAACCAGTATTCCGCCTCCCTGGGTCCTCCCTCACTATTGAATGTGGGAATAGGTCCACGTCTAAACTCGCAGAAATAACTCTGCTTCCTATCCTCGGCCGATCGCTCATTCTGAGCTCGAGTGACCATGCCTTGGAAAGCAGCATACATGGCATCCATGAACTCTTAATTCTATGGTGCTGATCGATTAACAGATCTATGATGCGGTGACATCTGCTTTAACTAAAAGGAAACTAGACTATTTAGTGGATTCCTGATGTCATACATGTATGTACAATCCTGTGGTTTCTAAACCTAAGACTCTGATACCACTCTGTCATGCCCCGAAGCCGGGGTTGGAGACGTGGAGGCTCGTTTAGGAGTTAAACAGGATTAAGCATTCAAAATTATAATAATCAGGATCAATAGTAAAATAATTTAAGAAATTTCCAAACGAGCCCCACTATTTAGCTGAAAATAAATTACAAGAAAGTTACGGGGTCTTCCACACTTTCTGAACCGTTCAGGGCTTCACCCACAGAATATGCAGTATTGTACATACATGAACATATAAATAACATTACAAACATCAACCATAGTCTAGAATTCATAGTTCATAGTTTACAGAGTTCACAATTCTTATATTTACTCATAAGGAGGAAGAGCACAATCCTCTCTTAATCAGATGGTAGCAATCTAACTCAGCTATTCTGCACTGCTCCTAGAGTCGTCTGAGAAGAGTTTAATGTTTATAAAATAAATAAAACGTGAGCGAAAGGCCCAGTATGATATATTTTTAAATAACTTTATAAACAAATGAATAAACAATGAAATAAATATAGACATTCAGTTCCAAAACAATAGCCGGAACCTCACATCCTTTTTTTAAAAGGAATATAAACTAAAAATCTCCGTATTATAGGCATCAGCAAGTAATTTATACTATGATAAATTACTTACACAACCACATGCACAAGCCTTATCACCTCGGGCCGGGTTTCGGGTTCTGCCCCCAAGCATGCACTCTCCACATCCTATCTAGGCGATCAGCCAGTTTACCGATTCGCAAGATCTCTTGTCTTAAGAAATCATTCACTAATCTTTGTGAAATAGTTCATTATAATTCCAATAGCTAAAATCAAGCTATTGTTTTTAAGATGCTTTTCTTTCACAAACATGCCCTTTCTTTAAAACATTTTCATGGCCAAAACTCTTTTGAAAACAAGCTAGCAAAGAAAGGGATAAGAAATCCTACCTCACGAATACCAAACCTGTGACTAGCATTGCACTATTCTGGCTTTCGCTTCCTCAAAGCCCTTCAATCTGAGTCCTCAGCTAGCACTGACACAAGACAACACTTTAGGATCTAATTCTCATTCCTAAAGCAATTCAATCTCAATTATACCCTTTGATTTCCTATTAGTGTGCCATAATTCAATTACCGGTTTCATAAACCATTTCAGGTTTCAAATCATCATTCCAAGGGTTTTAAATCTCAAAACATGGATTAAGATGCTAATCCATTTACTCTAGATCCTCAAATGAAGCTAATTTGAGTTTTCCTCGAAACAAACAGGGTCAACCCCCGTGTACATGTAACACCCTGAAGAATTAATTGAGATTAATTAAGGTAATTGAGATTATTAGTGTGCCTAACCTGGATTATTAATTGAGTATTAATTACTAAATATTTCTGACACATGTGAGTTTAAATAGTTTCAAGGTATTTAAATTATTCTCAGTAATTTATTTTAACTAAGAAGTGTGTATGGGCGCATTTCTGGACCGTTGTTTTAAAATATTGCACTCATGTCCTTTTCTTTCCTTTTCCTTTTCTTTTCTTTTCCTTTTTCCTTTCCTTTTTCCTTTTTCTTTCTTTTTCCCTTCCTTTCCCGTGCGTCTCTCTCCCTCACTCTCTCTCTCACTCTCCCGTGCTCTCTCTCACTCATTCTCTCTCATTTTTTGTCCCAAATCAAACGGATCTTGAACTAAGAAAAGATTTAAAGAAGTTTTCAACGTCAAGAGAAGGATTCGAGGTAAGATTACTGAAAGAACCTCTCTTGAATCTCAAGTTTTTGAATTTTAAAACTTATTTTTGGTTCAAAGCGGATTTTGATGGTTTTTGAGTAAAACTAGAGTAGAAATTGGAGATATTGGGTTCTTTGGACTTGTTTTAGGACCTAGAACCCAGATCTAGTGGTTTCCCTTTGAAATATTTTGATTTGGGACTGGATTTACAGGTTTTAGACTGAGTCCCGCGAGCTTCTCTCGCGTAGCTGATTCCACCGATCGACCTGTCCGGTCGACCAGATCACATGGAAACCAGTCAACCCATGCGGTCGACCAGATTGTAGGCTGACCGATCGACCGGTCCGGTCGACTGGTGTGCACACTACCGGTCGACCAGTAGTGTTGCACTGCTCTATCACCGGTCGGCCGGTTCTGTTTTCGGGGAGAACCAAAATTAGCTTCATTTGGGGACTTGAGATAAATGGATTAGCATTGTTAATCCTTGATTTGAGATTTGAAAACTCTTGGAATGATATTTTGAAACATGAAAATGGATTAGGGCACACTAATTAAAAATCTTGGTACATAATTGAGATTTGGATCACTTTAGGAATGAGAATTGATCCTAAAGTGTTGTCTTGCATCAGTGATCGTTAAGGATTCAGACTGAAGGGGCTTGAGGAAGCAGAAGCCAGAAAAGGTAACGCTAGTCCCAAGTTTGATCGTGCAAGGTAGGATTTCTATCCCTTTTCCTTGTGAGCCTGTTTTCAAAAATGATTTCGGCCTTGAAAATGTTTTAAAGAAAGGGGTTGGTTTGCGAAAGAAAAATGTTTTGAAAACCATGGCTTGTTTTGTTTTTAGAAAACCATGGGTTTTTATCCATGGCTTGTCCTGTCCATGGAATCCATAGCTTGTTTAGTCATGGAACCTCATGGCTTGCCCTGTCATGGGGCCCGTGGCTTGAGTAGTTCGTGGGGTCATAAAAATGATTTCAGAAAAGTTAATGAATGATTTCTTAAGCAAAGAGATCTTGCGAACTGGTAATAGAGTCTATTGCTATAAGCCTAGATAGGATGCGGAGAGTGCATCCTCGGGGGCAGAACCCGAAACTCGGTCTGGGTAGGCGAGGCACTTGGTTAGGTAAGTAATTTGTACTAATTACTTGTTGAAGCCTGTAATATGGAGATTTTACATTTATTTCCTTTGAGAAAAAGGATGTGAGGTTCTGGCTGTCTATTGGAACTGAATGTCTATTTATTTACGTACCCATTTGTTCATTTACTTGCACTTTATCTATTTATTTATTTTACATCCTTGCAAATTATATCCTACTGGGCCTTTCGCTCATGTTTTATGTTTCAAATGTATTAAACCCCTCTCAGGAGACTCTAGGAGCAGTGCAAGGTAGTGAAAGATTGCTACTGTTGGATCAAGAGAGGATTGAGTTCATCCTCTTGAATAAATGAAAGGAATTTGATAATTCTGTAAATTTATGTAATATTTGGATTTACTAGACTGTGGTTGATGTCTGTTGTAATGATTATTTACATGAGCATGTATGTACGATACTAATAACTCTATGAAAATAGAGTTAATTGAGCATTTCCCAGGCTTAAATTATTACCTAGAGGGTAATTAGTATTAGTTTTTCTCCTTTATTTTGTCTTGTTAATTGTTTTTAGTTATTTGTGATTCATAAATTCTCTCTCTCGTGATTAGCGTTTAAAAAGAGCTAATTCAGGTGTGCTTTGTGGTTAATCTCAGCTTTAAGAAAACGTGGTCGTTTGGAGCTTTGAGCAGCTTTTTGTTTTTAGAGTATGAAGGAATCCTAGTCAGCATTGCTGCAGCAAGACGAGCTGGGCTAGACGTGTGTTTTGCTGACAGCTGGACCTGAGCTGGTTAATGGGCTGATTTTGTCCGTGAAGGGTGCTGATTGAGCCACTCATTGGAGACTTTCTCAT